TATAAAGATCCATATATATATATATGGATCTTTATATGAAATATTCTAATTAATAATTAATATTATAAATAAACAAGTAATGTTTTATTAATATCTATTAATCATATTTTATGTTATTAATATTTTATAATATATTAATATACTACTAATTTAAACAGTTTTAAATGAATATAGCCTGTTTAAATATAAACATAAAAATAAAATATAAATATATTTTAAAAATTGCACGTGAAATCTAAGTGAAGTTTATAAATAGTGGCTTTTGGCTTCTTACATTTTACCACATGAAGAAAATACTGGATTGCATGCTGATAGAGGCGCAGAGCTTCCTCGTAGTTTTTGGCCTTGTCCTCCTCAGAGGCTCTGCTGGCCAAATCAATGGCTTTCTATTGTGCACAAGTAAATATACAAGAGATATTCAAAAAGGAAAAAAATGTGTGTTTTTCTTGCTAAGGCTATCATTTTATTGTATGTTTCATAAATGCACGCAATTACATACAATATTTCACACTTTGGAAATAACAAATAAAAATGATTGGAAATAAAATTATTCTGCACACAAGCGATATAAATGAAATAATAAAATCTAAAATTGTCTGTAGTTACAGAAACACCCATATATATAGATGACTTGGTCAGGTTGTAAAGCAATGCCAGGCCTGTTTAAATGTTTCAAATCTTGAATTCAAATGAAATCTGTGTTGGACTATCTGTGTTCAATAAGATGATGTTAGTGTGGTGTAATGTACGGATAACTGGCTAGACCAGTTTAAGGACAGACTAATGAATACATACAGGAGATTAAAAAAAACATACAAGACAGGAGCTTTACAATGTAACAAATAAGTTAAGAAGCACTTTCTTAAATGTATGTATGTATCAAAATAATAAACAAGTGAATATAACGAACACATAAAGAATACATATATCCTAAACAACAACATAATTATATTTCCGACTGTATGTTGTCGAAGCATACGTTTAAAGAGAACAGAAAAATGATAAGTATAACAATAATACATATATTATATACAGTATAATAGCATGAAAAGGTCCACTATTATGGCTGT